CAAAGCTGAATACCATATATATATATATATATACACATACATACAAACACACAATTTATAGATTATTTATATAAATTAAAAGAGTTTGGCTATTTACAGTATGATACATTCCACGGGGCGCAGTTCAGGTGGAGCTCCATTCAAACACGCCACTTTCCTTCCCAGGAACACAGGCGGCATCCCCAAAAGTGGAGGGCTTGATGGCCTTTGAGGAGCCCATGTGGAAGGTGTCTCTCTCTGACCTCAGCCCTTTGCTCTTCGGAGGTAGACTGCTGCGGGAGAAGGAGGCTCGACCCCATTTTCCCGGGACACTTCTGCAAACCCTAAATATAATTTCTCCTTTTTTTTTTATTTTAAATCGGCTCGGGGGACAGTTAACCTAATGATGGTGTCCCCCAAAAAGCCCGCCACTTGCAAACCCTAAATATAATTTCTCCTTTCTTTTTTTTTAAAAAAATCGGCTCGGGGGCCAGTTAACCTAATGATGGTGTCCCCCAAAAAGCCCTCCACTTTAAATCACCATTAATGCCAGCAAGACGCTTTTCTTGTGGCAGGCAGTTCCGCAGGTTCGGTAAGCTTTGTCTTGCTCTCCTCGGGGTCCGTTTTTTTTTTTTTCCTTCTTCCAACAGCGGGTAGGCAAGGAGGGTCCGGGCTGCCTCCATCAGGTGAGGGGGCCTGATCAAAGCAAAAACTCCCCCCCCACCCCGCCGTCCTCAAGCCAAGTTTCTACAAATTATGGGGAAGGAATTGAACTCGCGCCAGAGGGGCTGCAACGCTTCCAACGAGCATCATTTGTGCCCTCCACACTGCAGATAAAACTATAATACAGGACGGGGAGTGCAACTTTGCAACTTTAAGACCGGAGGACTTCAACTCCCAGAATTCCCCAGCCAGCAGAGCTGGCTGGGGAATTCTGGGAGTTGAAGTCCGCCGGTCTTAAAGTTGCAAAGTTGGACACTTGGTTTACGGAGCGAAATTCCTGACTGTTGTCCCCTCCCCTTAAAAAGCCCCCAGGTTTGGAGGTGGGAGGGGCCACCCCTGTGCCAGCCTCCCCCCCTTTCCCCCCCCACCCCGTGCCCGGGGGGGGGGAGTTGGGCGCCTTCAGTGGCACCCGCAGCTGCCGGCCACCATGCCGTTGTACTGTTTCAAGACCACCGTCTCAGTGTCGTCGAAGTAGAGCAGGTTGATGGAGAAGAGCTTGTCCGGGACGCAGCAGGGGACGTGGACCTCCGGGCTGATCTTCAGGGCGTGGATGATGGACTGGACGGTGGCGTGGTTGGTGGGCCGCATGGACTGGCCCAGCGGGAAGTGGCAGGCGCCCTTGCAGTGGTAGGCGTTGTAGCCGTGCGGCGAGATGACCCAGCCCGTCCAGCCGATCTCGTCGAAGTCCACCGGGAGCGGGTAGCGCTGGCAGGGCAGGGAGATCTCGGCCGAGCGGGGGCCGCGGCTGTGGTTGGAGGGGGGCTCCGGGAGAGAAGTCAGACCTGCGGAAAGGGGGGAGGGCAAAGAGTCTAGAGAGTTGGTTCACGTTCCCCCCCTCCTCCCGCTTGGCACTCTCAGCTTCAGGAGCAAGAGTGAGAGATTAACAAGAGTTGGAAGGGACCTTGTAGGTCATCTAGTCCAACCCCCCTCTGCCCAAGCAGGAGACCCTACACCATTTCTGACAGAGGGCAGTCCAATCTCTTCTTGAAAGTCTCAAGTGATGAAGCTCCCACAACTTCCAAGGGCAACTTCTCTTCTATGGGTGGATTTGTTCTCACTGTCAGAAAATTTCTCCTTATTTCCAGGTTGAAAAAATCTCTCCTTGTTCAGTTTCCATCCATTGTTCCTTGTCTGGCCTTCAGATGCCTTGGAAAATAGCTTGACACCCCTTCCTCCTCTCTGGGGCAGCCCCTCCTCAAATATTGGAAGGCTGCTCTCCTGTCTCCCCTGGTCCTTTTGTTCATTAAAATCAGATTAAAGTCAGATTAACAGAGTTGGAAGGGACCTTGTAGGTCATCTAGTCCAACCCCCTGCCCTCATATATTGGAAATGGCTCTCCTGTCTCCCCTGGTCCTTCTCTTCCTTAGACTAGCCAGGCCCAGTTCCTGCAACCGTTCATTGCATGTTTTAGCCTCCGGTTACTCCCTCTTACGCTCCCTTCCTCTCTTCCTCTCTCTTTCCTTTCTTTCCTTTCCCTTCTCCCTCTTTCTCTCCCTTTTGTTTTCTTTCTCTGTTTTTCTCTTTCTCTCATTCTTTCTCTCCCTCTTTTTTCTTTCTCTCCTTCCTTCCTTCCTTCCTTCCTTTCTCTTTCTTTTTCCTTTCTCCCCCTTTCCCTTCAAATATTGGAAGATGCTCTCCTGTCTCCCCTGGTCCTTCTCTTCCCTAGACCAGCCAGGCCCAGTTCCTGCAACGGTTCATTGTATGTTTTAGCCCCCAGTCCCCTAATCATCCTGATTGCTCTTCTCTGCACTTTTTCTAGAGTCTCAACCTCTTTTTTATAGTGTGGTGACCAAAACTGGATGCAGGTCTCTAGGTGTGGCCTTACTAAGGCTTTATAGGGTGGTATTAGTACCTCACTTGATCTTGATTGTATCCCACTATTAACGCAACTTAGGGCTGCATTAGCTTTTTTGGCTGCTGCTGCACACGGCTGGCTCCTATTGAGCTGGTTGTCCACTAAGACTCCAAGATCCCCCTCCCAGTTCCTGCTATTGAGCCTGGTTTCACCCAGTCTAGATGGGTCCTTTGGGTTTTTCTTGCCTAAGTGAGGACTTTCCTTTTCTCTATATTGAATTTCATTTTGTTAGGCAAGGTCCAGTGTTCTAGTCTGTCAAGATCCCTCTGGACCTTGAGCCTACCTTCTTGGGTGTTGGCTATTCCTGCCATCTTAGTATCATCTGCAGATTTGGTAACTTCCCCTTCTATCCCCTCCTCTGAGTTGTCCCAAGAGAGGCGACGTGTGACCCCCCCGTCCCCCCAAAATGCCTGGCAAGGGTGTGACTCACCGGGGAAGGCGCTGGGCAAGGCCGCCTCCCGCTGCCTGTCATCCGTAAACAAGACCAGCATGGGCTTCTTGCTGGGGTGGTGGTCCCTGCCCGAGGCGAACTGCACGGTGTCGGGGTCCAGGGGGGCCCCTCCGAGGCCCTGCACCGTCACCAGCAGGCCCTGGTTGCGGCTCTCTTCGGCCACCCATTCATGGACCTGGGAGTGGGGGAGACGGCCATCGGTTGGCATCCTACTGGGCTCGAGTCAGCGAGCCAAGCCCCAGGCAAAAGGGACACCTCTCCCCCCCCCTTGTTCTCAGCACACACACACCCCATGCACACATGCAGGTCAAACTCTGGGGCACCCAAGCCCCTCCCCCCCGCTGGGCTCGAGTAAGCGAGCCAAGCCCCAGGCAAAAGGGACACCCCCCCCCTTGTTCTCAGCAGACACACACCCCATGCACACATGCAGGTCAAACTCTGGGGCACCCCAGCCCCCTCTTGTCGTCCCCCCCGGAGGGTGGCACTCACCGCGTGGGTGATGGGAAAAATCTCCCAGCCGAAGCCCTGCAGGGCCATCAGCCGGGTGGAGAGCAGCCTCTTCCCCTCGGGGTCTTCTGGGTGGTCCTTGTCCAGCACCTGGTAAATGCTGACCTAGTTGGGGGGAGAAGGAGAAACGGGGGGGGAGTAGGATTAGCTGAAGCCCTACGTGGTGGTGGGGGGGGCTCCTCTCCCCAGCAGGAGCCCTTCCCCCTACAGATTCGGGGCGCTCTGTACATGCCTGCCTAACCTGGCCCCCTTCCCGCCCCCCCTGGCCGGCCCCACTCAGCTTGGAGCCCCAATCTATGCAACGTGGTCGGCTCCCAAACTATGATGGGATATGACACCTCCCAGCAGCCTTGGTGGCGTGGGTCCACAGTTCAGGCAGGAAGAGACCAGGGGAGGAAGAGGAGGAGAAGGAGAAGAGGGGAAGGGGAGGAGAAGGACGAGGAAGATACAGGGGGAAAAGAGGAGAAGGGGAAGGGAGGGGAAGGGAAGGGGGAGGGGCAATTGGAGGGAGAAGGGAGAGGAGGAGGGGAAGAAGAAAGGAGGAGGAGGACAGAAGGGAGGGAGGAGGGAGGAGGGAGAGGGGGAAGAGGATAGGAAGAAGGGGAGAAGGAAGAGAATGGAAGGAAGGGAGAGGGAGAAGGAAGAGAGGAGGAGGGGAGGGAAAGTAGGGAGGGGGAAGGGAGAGGAGGATGGGAAAAAGAAGGGGGGAGGAGGAGGACAGAAGGG